GGATTAGCATCTTAGCCAAGAAACTTTTACCCTCAGATTGGAGCATTTTCTAGCTGGTGCTTCTTGTGTTAGTGAGAGGAATGAAAGAATGGAGGCATTAGAGATCCATGGATGGAGGCAAGCCAGCACCTCCAGCGTTTGGAGTAAACTCCTGAGCCACCAGGCCTGCCTCCCACAGAAACAGAAAGAAAACCTATCCTGCCTCTCACTGGGCCATAAATTATACATCGTCCCCTTCCCTGGGCCTTCAGGGAACCGAAGCATGTTCCACTCCTGCCACTGACCTTCCTCATCTTTGGGACTCCTGTCTTAATTTCTCACTGATCACAAAAAGTGATCTTCACAAAGTCTTCCTGCATTGTTTCTCTGCCAGTTCTGCAGACTTTGGGAGTTACTGTCTTAGCTAGAGAATAACAGTGGATCAAAGAGGAGGGACTATACCTTCTAAGTGCCCCTGCACCCAGGGCCACCCATTGGCACTGCCTGAGGAGGTCGTCTCAAGGTGAGGAGATGGACTAGGAGGGAAAGTGAGCCCTCATCAGCCAGTGCTTCTCAGACACTGACAAGCAACTAATAGGTAGGCTTCTTGACATACAGGGCTCTTGCTACAATGCAGATACCGATTTAGGAGAGGAGCCCAAGATTCTGCATTTCAAATTTCCCAAGTGATGTTGATGCTGCCAGTCCACAGACCAGACTGTATTTGCATAGCAAGGAGCAAGACTGAGTGGAGGTGAAAAAAATAGAGGAAAAACAAGCTCCATGAGAGGCAATCTGATGATGCTCCAGCTGCAAAACCTCTTTGTCTTCAAGGACTTCCCTGCAGGGCCTTTCACCTTTTCCGGAGGATTGGAGCACACAGCCTTCCAGGCCCAGCCGAATGCTGGTAAAGGACCAGGGGCCTGAGACCTCCTCACACCCTCCATCAGCAGCTGTCAGGGAGAGGAGCCTTGCCTGGGCTGGGCAATCAACCCTCGCCCCTGCCGCTGGCTCTCGGGTGGTTCTGCCATGGAACAGCAGGCTCAAGATGGCAAGAGGGTAACAGGTGGTCTCTCTTCCCTCCACCTCTGCCTCATCCCAGGCTCTGCTCCCTGAAGCCAAAGCAGTGATCCTCTTTACTTTCTTGAACAGCAGCTTACTTTGTGCCAGGCTGTGTGAACCACCATCTGGAACTGTTTTTATTTAATCCTCACAATCACCTTGTGAGGTAGGAACTGTTTTATCCCCACTTTAGAAGGAAACTGAGGCCCCATCACTGAACTACATACCTGTGAGGCCAGGAGCCTATGGGACCGAATCTAGGAGAGAAGCCTCAGGATAGGAATTTAATGAGAAATCAAGGCAACTAAGGTGCATTGATTGGTATATGACCCTTCAAAGGTAAGCAGAAAGCCAGTGCTGTTACTGTCCGTCTACCAGGTTTCCTTACCATACACCAGTGGCAGGAGGTTCTCCTGTGCCAGCTGGTATAGGTAGGTCATGAAATGGGCTCCTTGGCCTGGGCAGAGGGTGCCAGGCAGAGGCATGACTGACCAGGCAGCATCAACTGTGTGAAGAGTAGCTGGCCTGCTAGGCAGCTGGTGGAGGGCCATTTAGGAAAGTCTGAAGTAAACGTAGGTGGGTACTTGCCTACCTATCTATACCTCAAAGGAACAGTGTCCTGGGATGGAAATGCACACGATTCCAGCTCTTCATTTGACAAACCTAAGTGTCTACAAGCACTGTGCTAGGATTTGTGGGAGGGTTTAGGACAGTCTTTGTCCTTAGTGAGGAAAATTAGCATGCTGGATATAAAAATAAGAGTGGTGGAAACTTTGGTGAACTGGAGAATGCTGCTCAGCTAAAACTTGTACTACCTTACTTGAGTTGGCTGGAGCCTCTCAGCAATGAAGGACTACCTGATTTTTCAAGTCCAAAATCAAGATCATGTGAACATTTCCCTTTTCAGAAACAAAATGTGCAGAACTTGGGGACAGGTGGTCAGAAGATAAAATGGAACAATTCAAAAAATAAATCCTCAAATGCAGGCCAACATGTGGCTGCTGGTTTGCAACCTGTGTTCCTCACTACCCAAGTCCTATTTGTTCCTGTTGTACCTCCAGCACCTCACAATTCCTGGCAGAACAGAAGTGCCTCTGGTATATGACCACGTGAAGTTTAACCAAGAGACCCACCAGAGTGGCAATGGATCTGAAATTTCCATCACATGCAGAATAGCTGAAGCAACTGGAGAGGGTTTTTAGCCTTGGAAATGACTAACAGGAGGCATAAGAATTGTTACAAATAAGAACATCCTTTAAAAAAGTTAGGATATATGGTCTGGCCAACATTTTGGAGTGGGGAGAAGGCTACTTTCAGGTAAAATATACATCTGACAAGTGACCACAGTCCCCCAACTACTTCTACTGTCCATACCCACCTCCCCCATTTCTTCACTGGCCCAGTACCTAAAAGCATTTGGCTGTCATATCTGGTAAAGGGAATTCAGGCTTTGCCTTTTTAAAATTTTTATTATTATATTTTTGAGATGGAGTCTCACTCTGTCACCATCTGGAGTGCAGTGGTGTGATCTTGGCTCATTGCAATCTCCACCTCCCGGGTTCAAGTGATTCTCCTGCCTCAGCCTCTTAAGTAGCTGGGATATAGGTGCCCGCCACCACACCTAGCTAATTTTTGTATTTTTAGGCCAAGCTGATCTTGAACTCCTGACCTCAAGTGATCCCGCCCACCTCGGCCTCCCAAAGTTTTGGGATTACAGGCGTGAGCCACCGTGCCAGGCCCAGGCTTTGCCTACTAACTTTCATCCCAAATATCTCACCTACTTCCTACCTAAGAATCTTACCTAACTCAGAATTTTTTTTTGGAGATGGAGTTTCACTCTTGTTGCCCAGGATGGAGTACAATGGTGCGATCTTGGCTCACTGCAACCTCAGCCTGCCGGGTTCAAGCGATTCTCCTGCCTCAGCCTCCCAAGTAGCTGGGATTACAGGCATGCATCACCATGCCCAGCTAATTTTGTATTTTTAGTAGAGACGGGGTTTCTCCATGTTGGTGAGGCTGGTCAAATTCCCAACCTCAGGTGATCCGCCCGCCTCGGGCTCCCAAAGTGCGGGATTACAGACATGAGCCACCATGCATGGCTAACTTGGGACTTTTCTAAGGAATAAAATGAGATATGTAATGAAACTATCTGGCAGAATACCTGGCAAAGGGGTCAAGAAATGTTCAACATTATTATGGAGGTTTAGATCTTTTCTCCCATCCAACTACTAACCAGGCCTGACCCGGCTTAGCTTCCAAGATCAGATGAGGTCGGGAGCATTCAGGGTAGTATGGCCGTAGAGGTTTAAGTCTTTTCTATAAAACACCAAATAATACAACTACGGTAAAAGCATACAAGTTGCAAGGAGTCTGAGTTTGGCTTCATAAATGATACTTCTGTAACAATGCCAGCTGGAATAAGATCACAAGTGTGAATGTTCAAATAGAGCAGCAAAGGCCATTCCTCAGGGAACTCTGGAGAGGAGATTCCTACCCCAGGTAGGAAGCTGGTTGGTTTCTGCTCTGATCCTATGACTACTAAATGCATAGGATGAAAAACTACACTTATAATGTGCATTAACAAGAATATGACTGATCTCCATGGATATGGAAAGATACACAAAATAGAATCAGTGGGGGGGGAAAATTATAGAACCATACAATGGGAGACCAAGTTTTAAAAACCAGGTATGTATATATGTGCTTAGAGCATTTCAGGAAGGGATATATTAAGAAATTTATTTGGAAAACCTTGAGAGGTAAGCTGGAGTGAATGCACACTCTCCACTCCATGCCCAAATGTTTACTTTTCACTTTATACCCTTCTGTTTATTTTCTTTGATCAGCAGCATCAACTTTTTAAAAAAGGACCGAATAGGCCAGGCTCGGTAGCTCATGCCTGTAATCCCAACACTTTGGGAGGCCAAGGTGCGGGGATCACTCGAGCCCAGGAATTCAAGGCTGCAGCGAGCCATGACTGCCACTGCACTCCAGCCTGGGCAGTAGAGCAAGACTCTGTTTAAAAAAAATAAAAATAAAAATAGGCCAGGCGCGGTGGCTCAAGCCTGTAATCCCAGCACTTTGGGAGGCCGAGACAGGTGGATCACAAGGTCAGGAGATGGAGACCATCCTGGCTAACACAGTGAAACCCTGTCTCTACTAAAAAATACAAAAAAACTAGCTGGGCGAGGTGGCGGGCGCCTGTAGTCCCAGCTACTCGGGAGGCTGAGGCAGGAGAATGGCGTAAACCCGGAAGGCGGAGTTTGCAGTGAGCTGAGATCCAGCCGGCTACTGCACTCCAGCCTGGGCGACAGAGCGAGATTCTGTCTCAAAATAAATAAATAAATAAATAAATAAATAAACAAACAAACCAAATCATTTGGTTTGGTCAAAACCTTCTGATCTGAGCTTTGCTTGGCAACCACTCCCCAAGATAAAGTTTTATATATCACCTCACATATTCACTGTCAAGGATCAGGAACTCTAGACTACTGGACTCCCCAGTCAACATTCCCGTTACCAAAAGTGCCTAATCTTGGAGGCTGCTTCACATCACCCTCTCTTTGTCCCTCATTTCCTGAGTCTTTTTTTTTTTCCCCCTCCAACTACACTTGCTCTACTGGTGATTTCACACAGCCCTCTGATTTTTAAGATACTGTCCAAATACTGACTCCCAAATTTCTATTTCCATCCAAGACCCACTCTTAAACTCTACACACACACATGCATCGCAACTGCCTCCTCAACAGCTCCACTTGGATATTGAGTAGACATCTAACACTTGCTCTTCCCATAGCCTTCCAACTCAGCTGATGGCATGTCCATGCTTCTAGCTGCCCAAGTCCACACCTCAGAGTTAGGGAAAGTAGAGTGTGACCCATAATGCCAGCTACCTACAAACTAAGGTAGATCTGGGTACTGGGATTAAAGATATCATAAAATCATTAAAATGTTTTCTGAAATGTTTAAAGTTAACTCATTTTAATTCCAGGATTTGGATTTCAACGTTTTAATTTCTTTGGAATATAAGTCACCTTTTGCAAGCTAAAAAATAGAATCAAACTAAGGTGATCTAGTCCTCTAGGCATCCAGGCTGATCCTTGGAATCATGAGCAGAATGATGACATCATACAAGGTGCTAGCAATAGGGTTATAAACTCGAAATAATAACCACTTATCTACATGTTTCATTAGGAAACAGCCAAAAGTCCAGCCATTAAAGGAATAATCTACAGAACATTTTGATTTACAAGGGACAAAATGATCCAAATTGTATGCTGTCCAATCTACTGGTGAACTGGATCAGAATGGGCCAAGGACTGTTAAACAGAGAAAGTATTTACATTTTGAAAACTTGCTCCGCAGGAAAAAAAAAATTCCTGGTTGCTGTCAATAAGAAAGCAAGTAAAAAAAACATTACAGATGAACTCACCGATCTTTGATTTTACTAAGGCCTTCCACTGGAACATGAAGGTAGGGATAAGTGTAGAGGATAATATACTCAGATATTTTTAAAATAAATTACTTAGTAATAAGAAATTAGCCATACTACATTCTTCCATTTGCTACAAGAGGAAATTGGCAATGAAGACTATTTAAAAGAAATGCTCAGCTCTACAGAGGGTGGTGGCAGGCAACACTTTTCCATTACAGAATAACCTCTATTCTTCCATGATACATATTCCTGTGGAAAAACTTGTCAGGAGCTCTTGCCAGGGCCAAGGGATGAAAAACAGAGCATGTCCTAATTAGCTACTGTAGGTTCAGTTAACATCTTTGGGAAGGACCCATAAAATCTGGCCATTATTTTCTTAAACATCTGCAAGCAGAATTCCTTAGTCCTTAGCTATAGTTTCTGCTAGGTATCTTAAAGCTGGGACAGTTCCACTGTGACTCTTCTCCTCAGCTATTAGGTGGGTGCTAGTCATCAAAGTCTGGAATGTCATCATAGGAGTAACCACGGTAGCCTTTGGATGCGTAGTAAGCGATGCGCAGGTGGTAAAAACCCGGTAGGAACACCAGAATGCCAATGATCAGGACTGGAACGGCCCGGTCTGCCCCCTGGTGGCAGAAGGAGGCAAACACATTAGTATCGTAAGAGTTACACATTTTAAAATAAAAAGTCTCATACCTAATCCTTAGATCAGTATTTTATACTCTTCAGTACATTTTCTTTGAGTTGTATACTACCGAGGGAAAAGGTTTCCTCCTGACTATAAATTGAAGAAAAACTACAAAGTACTAACAATTATAAAGAAAAAAATGACCCATTCTCATCCAGATATTTTAGCTTGTTTTCCTTTTTTTAAAGCTCTTAGTTGTGAACACAACATACTCTGTGTCCTGTGGCCAGTATTATTAAAACTTCTTCATATATTTAAACTGTAAGGATGTGTAACATTCCACTGAAATGGACATGCCACAGTTTTACTTAACTGCCCCACATACAACTGCTGGACACTTTGGTTGTTTTTCACCTTTTGTAATTGTACAGCTACCACTACAATAAACTCTGTGTTTTTCTCAGAATTTCAGGTTTTTTTTCCTTTTTTCTTTTTTTTTTTTTTTTTGAGGTAAGAGTCTTGCTCTATTGCTCAGGCTGAATTACAATGGCGTGATTACAGCTCACTGCAACCTCAACTTCCAAGGCTCAAGTGATCCTCCACCTCAGCCTCCAAGTAGCTGGGGTTACAGGTATGAGTCACCATACCTGGCTAATTTTGTATGTTTGTTTGTTTGGTAGAGATGAGGTCTCACTATGTTGCCCAGGCTGGTCTTGAACTCGGGGGCTCAAGAAATCCTCCTGCCTCAGTCTCCCAAAATGCTGGAATTATAGGCTTGAGCCACTGCACCTGGCTGGCTGTGTTCCCTGTTGTGTGTTAATTATAGTCAGAATTGGTTCAAGACAACTTAGACACTGTGTATGTGGGGACAGCCCATGAGAAAGAACCACCAACTACTTTAGGTTTCTAAGGTTTCATACTGAAGCTCAACAGGAACGCCATCCAAACATAATGTAAGAAGGAACTGACTTATGAGGCACAGTGACCCCACACATATAACAGAATTGCTATTTCTCTCCAAACACTGACGGTACGTCCATGGCACTGCACAGCTACAATGACAGCATGCTGCTCCAGCTACAGCCCTTTACCAATCAGGACCCTTGCATGCCAGGCTCAGCCATGTTGTTCCAAACTATTACAGGGCAAACTGTCTAATATCTCAGAGACCAAGTTTGTCTACCTGCTACCACCTCCCTTATAGGAACTATGGAAGTTTACTGTTGCTCAAAGGAAGAAAAACATATTTTGCCAACAGAGAACAAAATGCAAAAGAAAATCTTTTTGTTCTTTCTGCTGGAATCTGCTGTACTAGACATGAATATAAAAACAAAGATTCAATCAGGAAAAAAAACCTAAAATCCGAATAGACAAACAAAGAGTAATGAGATTGAGGCTGTAATAAAAAGTCTCTTAGCAAAGAGAAGCCTGGGACTTGATAGTTTCACTGCTGAATTATACCAGTTAAAGAATTAATACTTGGCTGGGCATGGTGGCTTATTCCAGTAATCCCAGCACTTTGGGGGGCCTAGGCAGGCAGATCGCTTGAGCTCAGGATTTCAAGACCAGCCTGGTCAACATGGTAAAACCCCGTCTTGAAAAACAACACAAAAATTAGACGGGCATGGTGGTACACGCCTGTGGTCCCAGTTGCTAGCGAGGTGGCAGGATCACATAAGCCTGGGAGGCAAAGGTTGCAGTGAGCTGAGCTCGCACCACTGCACTATGCCTGGGTGACAGAATGAGACCCTGTCTCCAAAAAAAAAAAAAAAAAGAATACTAATCCTACTGAAACTATTCTGAAACAGAAACAGACATGGAGAGAATACTTCCAAACTCATTCTATGAGGCCAGTTTTACCGATACCAAAACCAGGCAAAGACACGTCGAAAAAAGAAAAATAGGCCAATATCCCTGATGAACATTGATGCAAAAATCCTCAATAAGGAGGATAATACTAGCAAACCAAATTCAACAATACATTAAAAAGATTATTCATCAGGACCAAGTGGGATTTATCCCAGAAATGCAAGGATGGTTCAACTTATACAAATCAATCAATGTGATAAAATCATATCAGCAGAATAAAGAAAAAAAACCATATGATTATTTCAATCAATGCTAGAAAAGCATTTGATAAAATTCTACATTCAACGGGTGCAGTGGCTCACGCCTGTAATCCCAGTACTTTGGGAGGCTAGGGTGGGCCTCACACTGACCATAATTAACACACAACGGGGAACATAGCCATAGGGGTGCAGTGGCTCAAGCCTGTAATTCCAACACTTTGGGAGGCTGAGGCAGGAGGATTGCTTGAGCCTAGGAGTTCAAGACCAGCCTGGGCAACATAATGAATGAGATCTCATCTCTAACAAACAAACAAAAAAATTAGCTGGCTATGATGACTCACACCTGTAACTCCAGCTACTTGTGAAGCTGAGCTGGGAGGATCGATTGAGCCCAGAAGATTGAGGTTGCAGAGAGCTGTGATCACACCACTGTACTCCTGGACTGCTTGAGTCTAGGAGTTTGAGATCAGCCTAGGCAACATGGCAAAACCTCGTCTATATAAAAAATAAAAAAAAAAAATTAACCAAGTGTGGTGGCACCTGCTTGTGGTCCCAGTTACTTGGGAGGCTGAGGTTGCAGTGAGCCAAGATGGTGCCACTGCACTCCAGCCTGGATGACAGAGTGAGACTCTCTCTAAAAAAAAGAAAAAATACACTAGGGAAAGAACCAGTCTTTTCAATAAATGGTATTAGGAAAACTGGATATCCATATGCTGAAGAATGAAACTAGACCCCTCAAATCTCCTACCATATACAAAAATCAAATGAAAATGGATTAAACACTTAAATGTAAGACCTAAAACTATGAAACTACTACAAGAAAACATGGGGGAAACTCTCCAGGATGCTGGACTGGGCAAAGATTTCTTGAATAATGCCCCCAAAAGCACAGACCATCAAAGCAAAAACAGATAAATGAGATCACATCTGGTTAAAAAGCTTCTGTACAGCAAAGGAAACAATCAGCAAAGTGAAGAGACAACCCACAGAATGGAAAAAAATATATGCAAAGTATCCATCTGACAAGGAATTAATAACCAGAATATATAAGGAGCTCAAACTCTATAGGAAAAAAATCTAATAATTCAGTCAAAAATGGGCATTTCTCAAAAGAAGGCATACAAATGGCAAATAGGTATAAGAAAAGGTGCTTAACATCACTGATCAAAGAAATACAAATCAAGACTACAATGAGGTATCATTTCATCCCAGTTAAAATGGCTTTTTAAAAAATATAGACACGAGGTCTCACTATGTTGCCCAGGCTGGTCTCGAACTCCTGGGCTCAAGTGATCCTCCTGCCTCGGCCTCCAAAAGTGCTGGGACTACAGGTGTGAGCCACTGCACCCAGCCAAAATGGCTTTTATCCAAAAAAACAGGCAATAACAAATGATAGCAAGGATGTGGAGAAAAGGGAACCCTCGTACAATGTTGATGGGAACGTAAATTAGTATAGCCACTACAGAGAACAGTATGAAATAGAACTACCATATGATCCAGCAATCTCACAGCTAGGTATATACCCAAAAGAATGGAAATCAGTCTGTCAAAGAGATATCTGCACTTCCATATTTATGGCAGCACTATTAACAACAGCCAAAATTTGGAAGCAACCAAAGTGTTCTTCAACAGACAAATGAATAAAGAAAATGTGGTACATATATACAATGGAGTACTATTCAGCCACAAAAAAGCATGAGATCCTGTCACTTGCAACAACATGGATGAAACTGGAGGACGTTATGTTAAGTGAAATAAGCCAGGCACAGAAAAACAAACTTTCCAAGTTCTCACTCATTTGTGGGAACTAAAAATTAAAACAATTGAACTCATGGATATTGCAGAATGATGGTTACCAAAGGCTGGGAAAGGTGGGGGGAAATGGGGATGGTTAACGGGTACAAAAACATAGTTACATAGAATGAATAAGCTCTAGGATTTGATAGCACAAAATGACTAGAGAATAATTTATTGTACATTTAAAAATATAATAACTAAGGCTGGACGTGGTGGCTCACGCCTGTAATCCCAGCACTTTAGGAGGCCCAGGCGGGCAGACCACTTGAGGTCAGGAGTTCGTGACCAGCCTGGCCAACATGGCAAAAACCCGTCTTTACTAAAAATACAAAAATAGGTCAGCCGTGCTGGTTTGCCACTGTAGTCTCAGCTACTCAGGAGGCTGAGGCAGCAGAGTCACTTGAACCCAGGAGGCGGAGGTTGCAGTGAGCTGAGATTGTACCACTGCACTCCAGCCTGGGTGACAGA